ACAGTGACACCCTGCCAAGCTGATTGCTCCCTTTTCACACTTCGGGGGACTCCACTGGAACAGCACTGACAGGCAAGCTGCTGCCTTCTGACCTCACTGAAGGGGGCGCTTAAGCTCCAGGGGTGTGACAGTAGCGCGTCACGGTGGCACTGCACGGATGATAAGACACAGGGATTCTGAGGTGGGGCGGCTCCGGCTGTCAGTAACTCTCATAGACTGTCACAGCTTCCTCAACATCTCTGTCCTCTGCTGAGCCAAGATGATGCAGGAGCCTCCTACAGCCTGTGCGTACGCGTCCACCCATTGGTCTTGGAAGGATGACAGGATGAATTACTGCCATGTGACGTACACATGGGGTGCAGTATTAAAGGTGCAAATTCATGCTGCTTGATTTGAAAGCATACAGTCTCCCTGCAGTGTTCGTATAGTGTTCATGCACTGTAAATTCACTGTTCATATTGTGTTCAAACAGTGTTAATGCAGCATTCATGTAGCTTTCATACTGTGTTGTTTGTGAGTGTTCATGCAGTATTCATAGTGATCATATAGTTTTCATAGAGTATTCATTAAGTGTTCATACTGTGTTCAAACAGTGTTCATGCAGCATTCATACACTGTTCATATAGTTTTCATACAGTGTTCATGCTGTTTTCATACAGTGTTCATGCTGTTTTCATACAGTGTTCATGCTGTTTTCATGCAGTGTTCATACTGTGTTCCTGCAGTGCGCAAACCATGTTGATAGTGTTCCTTCAATGTTCATATAGATGTTTCATACAGCTTCTCCCTGGGCAAGTTGTACATCAGAAATGTCTGACCAGAGAAACTGTCTCCAGTGAAGGACTGGAATTGAAATCTGAATTAAATGCTTCCTGTTAGTTTATCAGGGGCCTAGATCCAAAGCTTTTTGATTTATCAAAATGACTGATCTTAGCTTGCCCACTTCTGGTTGAAGGGTCATATTGCCCCCTCCCTCACCACTCCTCACTAACCACTGATCCTCCTTAAACCACTCAGACAGACCGACGACTGGACGCTTTTATGTGGTGAAAGGACCTTCTGCAGGCCTCAGTCTATTACCTGAACTTCTTCTGGTGGTAGGAGTCCCAGGAGGAGCCTTCTTGTGGAATATCTGAATAGAGTGTCCCGTGCAAAGTAACCAGCTGGATAAGTGGATGAAGTGTTCAAATCTAATAGCATGAGCTGAGGGAGAATCTGGGGATTAGAGCTTCATTCTGGAGCTGAATATCAGAGGATAAACACTGGAGAAGAGACACAAGGTGTGTGAGGAGGAGCTGGTCACACCCATGCATCACCACCCAGAGATCCCAGAGGGGTGGGCGGGGTGGCTGAGGTGGCCAGTGCCACCCCCGCAGTCTCATTAGCCACCCCAGATGCCACCCCCGAAATTTCAGCCACGTCATTGGTTTCTACCTCGCTAATTGTCTTTTGATAGCGGTATACAGTATGCTGTAATGTATGGTATATTACACAATTTAGGTTAGTCATTTCAATTTCATTTAGAGGAAGACAGAGGCCAGGGGTCGCATAATGCAGTTTTGTTTGCTGGTTGCTTAGAGCATTTGACTTCTTAATAGCCTTAAATTTTGTAAATTAGCTCGGAAAAAACGGTCCTATTTATGTCATTGTTAATGCTAGACTAGGTTATGCAAAATAGGAGACTGACCATCAGTGTCTGTGAGTGTGTGCATTTAGTCTAGTAATTTATGTTTTAGCCTATTATTGGTATTAATATTAATGCAGAAAAAAAAGTCAGAGCACTATGCATGCAGAGTTGCAAAAGAATTGTTGCCACATCTTGACATTCCTTTGCCACTGGGACACTGTGAAGTTACAGACACTGACTCACTTCTTCTACGGCGCTCAAATGGAACATAAGAGGAAGCCTCTGACTCTCATGATGGACAGCTGCCCATCCCCCCCCCAACAGCCCCCCTGCTCTGCTATTCCACTGAGAAGATGCTGCAGATACGTCCCGATTTGCTTATCCGAACTGTCCATTACCCGAAGAGGAATCGATCGATATGTACACAGGATAAGATCTGAAATAACCTGCCTGAGCCATGCGGAGGAGGTGGGGTCCTCCTCTGCCCGAGGAGAGCCTCAGCGCTGTGGCTCCCCCTTCAGGAGGCGCTCCACCATGCACCCTGCTCTGGGTTTGGAGGTACTGCCTCACTGCGCTGCTGGGGGTGCAACTGGGTTGAGCACACTCACTATACAGAGTCCTGGGTCCAAAAGGTGTCATTCTCCTCCCCCCCTTGTAATTTATAATGGAGAGTCAGTGTGTTCATAACATCCTCTGGGTCAGGAGCTAACCATGATCAAAGGCAGAGAGAGACTGAAAGAGAGGCAGAGAGAGACTGACAGAGAGGCAGAGAGAGACTGACAGACATGCAGAGAGAGACTGACAGACATGCAGAGAGAGACTGACAGACAGGCAGAGAGAGACTGACAGACAGGCAGAGAGAGACTGACAGACAGGCAGTTTGCTGTTTCAGTGAGATCGGCGATGTTTCCTGGGAGCAAATCCCAAGATGCCACCAGTGCCTAAGGTGTTGCATTAGTGGTGTAAAGTAGCTTCGTGTTGATAAACATGCAGGCAGGAGCGGATGCATGTTCGCAGATGCCGGAGGGGAGCCTGTGCGCAGCAGGATATAGGTCTGCCTCTCCAGTTCACCCCCCCCCCCCCAATCAGAACCATTGGAGGCCCATGACCTTCCGTGCAGGAGACGCCATTTAATCTGGATCAGGAGGAGATGCTTGCGGATGCTGCTCGTAGCAGGATCCCCTTTATCTCCTTGAAATTGATTTTCAAAAATTTTCCAGTTTAGCTGGAGAGGCTGCTCCAGTGACTGATGCAAAGCCGTCCTTGGCTTCCAGGTTAAGTGGCAGACTTCCTCCCAGTTCTGCATCTCCAGTCTCTCCTCACTGCTGCGTGCTGAATCCCGTTTCGGTTTTCTCCCCGAGTGTCTTGGCCTGAGGTTCCCACAGACGCTGCTCCTCTCATCCTGTCGTTAAGCTACATCTTCACATTGACTTATGTGTATGGATAGAGTGCAGTACAGGCCTCTCCAGCTAAAACGCTGTAAAGTGGGCATTAGCAGTAATAGTGTATATGATCCATTCATCCATGTTCCATAACCCCTATCGACCCCTATCAGAGGAAGCACAGAGCAGTGCTGGACGCTTATCATTTTCCCCGTCCTGGGGGGGCTGTGAAAGGCCCCTGCTGAGCAGTACCGTTCAGTTGAAGCACGGTGGAGCCAGTGTGAAACAGGAGCCCTGGCTGTCAATGCTGGGGGTGTCGCTGACCCCCCTGCCTCATTCAGATCTGTCTCCTGTGACGGTGACAGTGACAAGATACTGTGTCCCCCAGAAATCAGGGAACAATGGCTTCACTATCCCTGTCCCCCAACCCAGCGCTGGCACACAGATCCAGAGAAAGGTGATCGAGAAGAACCATAAAATTCAGCTCAGAGTTACACAGCTGGATGACATGGTGGAAATTTGGGAGATTCATAAGACCTTAGGAGGAGGGTTTGGGTGGAGAGGTTCCACCTTAAGAGTGATGGTTACATTAAAGAGGTTCCACCTTAAGAGTGAGGCTTAGCTTGGAGAGGTTCCACCTTAAGAGTGATGGTTACGTTAAAGAGGTTGGAGAGATTCTGCCTTAAGAGTGAAGGTTGAATGGAGATGGTCTGCCTTAAAGAGTGAGGGTTAGGATGAAGAGATATTCTGTACAATCACATCAGAGGCTCTGGTCCAAAGTGAGTACAGATTCCTGTTCGAACCCAAGCAGTTCCCAGTCACATCCTGCTCCTTTAAGCTGCCTCCATCCCACTTACACACAGTAATGTGCTAAATCTGGTTCCCTCCTAATTAGGATGTTTCGCTGTGTCGTTTTGTCACACGAGGCCTCAATTCATCATTACTGCACTGAGGAAGCGGCACCATGACGATCAGCCTAACTGGCGTCAATTAAGTCTCAGTTCTCTGAGTCGCAGTGAACACTGTTGGTCTTATTATTTGTTTTCAGGGGGAAAAAAACAATAAATGAAACAGTTTTGGACTTCATTGACATTCTCTACAGCACAGAGGTGTGTTTTTGCGGGTTTCTATTTACCATATTGTGGTAAATCTTTTTTCAAGACCCCACAATATAAATCCAAAAATCTGTGAATGCAATCAAAAAAGTAAAAATTCCAAAAGTCTTGTATATGGGTTGATTGCTTATGGTTAAGGTTAGGGATGGGTAGGGGTCAAGGGTGTCATGTTAGGATTAGAGTTTTCCCCATAGAAATGAATGGAGAGTCCCCACAAAGATATAATTACAAACCTGTGTGTGTGTGTGCGTGTGTGTGTGTGTGTGTGTGTGTGAATGGTGTGTGGGTGAATGTGCCCTGTGTTGGGTTAGTACCCCATCCTGGGTTGTCCCCTGCATTGTGCCCATAGGCTCCAGACCCCTTATGACCATGAATAGTATAAGTGGTTACAGAAAATGGATGGAGCATCATTTCAAAGATTCCTGGGTCAGCAGAGTATCCAGAAATGCAACCAGAGTAGTGAAGCTCTCTAAGGTCTACATAGTCAATCTACCTGAGGTCTCCATACAGCCACATGGTTTCTGTAGTGAAGCTCCCTGAGGTCTCTGTACAGTCACACGGTTTCTGTAGTGAAGCTCCCTGAGGTCTCTGTACAGACGCACGGTTTCTGTAGTGAAGCTCCCTGAGGTCTCCATACAGTCACATGGTGGGGGGGCACCCTGATTTGATTTGAGGGGAGCAGTGCTGTGAGCAAAACTTCACTTAAAATGATTCAAAAGAAATGAAATGATTGTTGGTGAAGTTCCGGAGGGTTCCGGCTTCTGAGAGTGCTGTTCATGCAGCGGCTCCCATATCTGCTAACTGGACCTTCCTGCAAACATGATCTCTCAGTCTGTTTCCCCTCTCTTTCGCCCTTCTCCCCGCCCCCCCCCCCAGATTCCGCAGCAGGTGAGCGTCCTGACCTTCTACAGGCAAGAGCCCCCCCTGGTTGACTACTGCCAGGCCCACCAGCCTGCCGCCACGCTGAGGCTCAACATGGCCTTCGAGGGTTCTCACCCGGGTTTGGGGGGGCTGGAGGAACTCGGTTCCACACAGACATCGGGCCCTGCCCCCACCCGAGGCCGTGCTCCCACAGTCACACAGACCCCCTCCACACTCAGACTGCCGAGGGAGGGGCCCTGTGTTACCTTTCCCTCTGTGGAGCGCTCCACGCTGGGCTTGGGACACTAGACCAGAGCTCCGGGGGTGGGGTTCATACAGCAGACTCCGCCTTCAACTTTACCCCACATCGTGGTGGGGGCGGGGTGGAGGTGGTCATCATTTCACACCAGCGTTTGGGAAGAGACCAGACTTCCGCCTCTACTCTGAGTGGACAAAGCTGACTCCGCCCTGCCCTCCAGCGATCCCCCCAGGCTGTGGTGTAACCTCAAGCCGGGGAGCTCATGATGCACCATCTTTGGATGGGGAAGCAGGTTCTGAAGGTAAAACGCCTCTGGGCCTCTGCCTCTGGGCCTCTGCCTCTGGCGGCCCTGCCTCTGGGGCCCCTGCCTCTGGAAATGCTCCAGCCGTGTCTCCCTGACCCAGCACCTGCCGCAGGCCACGCTCTAAGTTTCTGACGTATGCCGTTTCTGTAAAACAGCGCCCCCTTGTGGATGGTATCCTTTTGCCTATGATTGTGTTTTCTGAAGCCTCCGGTGGTCACCTGACGCTCAGGGCTTCGGCCTGTTAATTACGGTTTGAGCACACAGATTGGCAGGGATGTCTCAGCGCAGAAAGCATCCCTGCTGTCATTCTCCACACCGATCACTTTGCTGCAGGAGTGACTCTGTGCTGTTGTCTTATCCCTGAAGACTCTGGTTAATTTCAAACATGTAATATTTCTATTTTCACTTTGCTAATGTTTTTTTTGTATCACATTTTTATCATAGCCCAAAAGCCATCCTTCTCCCCACCATGTATCCTGGGCCTGGAGTCTGCCCCAGGCAGCACGGGGTTGGAGTCCATGCAAGACAAGATGGCGGTCCATCGCATCGGTACATACAGACATATAGGGACATTAAGAGATGTACTGTGAGGGTAAACCTGGGAGCCCAGAGGAAACCTGTCAAACACTGAGAGAACATCCACACACACATGCACTCACACAGAGCAGCATTCGAACCTCTAACCCCAGAGGCGTGAGGCACCGATGCTGCCCGCTGAGATACCACTCTCCTCATTGTCATTTTCAGTTGATCCCTCCAGCACAGTTTTGACTTTAGCTTATAACAAATGTTGTTTAGGTCTCTGTGTTATTACAGTGAGACACCATCGTCAGGGCTCAGAAATGAGCGGGTGCAGTGTTTGTACTGCATATTTACAGCATACAGCACTGCTGCATAATGTGAAACAGGGAAGGCTCACTGCATATTTACAGCATACAGCACTGCTGCGTAATGTGAAACAGGGAAGGCTCACTGCATATTTACAGCGTACAGCACTGCTGTGTAATGTGAAACAGGGAAGGCTCACTGCATATTTACAGCGTACAGCACTGCTGTGTAATGTGAAACAGGGAAGGCTCACTGCATATTTACAGCGTACAGCACTGCTGTGTAATGTGAAACAGGGAAGGCTCCTGATGGTTGTTATTAATGCTTGTTAGACATAAATGAGAGATTCAGGTCTGTTGTGATCGAAAGCATCACTGGGTGAAAATGATGCCAGTGTCGTTTCCGTGACAGCAGTTCCTTAAACAACGCCTCTGACTGATCCTGCCATCATGTCCTCATTCACACTCAGCTGCTCTCCTTTGATTTGCCGACAGACTAGTTGAAATGACTCATTAGCAAGAAGAAGAACATCGATGAAAGAGGGAGGAGCCAGTGCTACTTAATCACTGATTCTTTCTGCTCTGATCTGGTGATTGTGCATTTAATGTAAAGCGGAAGAGAGGCAGAGAGAATAAAGGCAGGTGTCTGTGCTGAGAACTACTGCCTTGACTTGTTGCTGAATTGTACTGCAACATCGCGCAGTCATTTCCAGCTGAGTGACTCAGTATCTCAGGCCCTCAGGTCACATGACGCTTTTTCCCATATATGGAAGCATGATCTGTCCGAGAGTGAGTTTCAGTTTTTGTGTTTGGCCCCGCCTTCACAGAATTTGACCCCACCCCCAGTGTGTTTGGCCCCACCTTCAGCGTGTTTGGCCCTGCCTTCTGTGCATCTGGCCCCACCTTCAGCGTGTTTGGCCCTGCCTTCTGTGCATCTGGCCCCACCTTCAGCGTGTTTCACTCCACAGCACATTTCCTTCAGCCCTGGTTCCAAAGAGTTTGACCCCATCGCATTGTGTTTGGGCTCCACCTTCTGTTCATCATCTTTCTTGTCTTCTTCGGAATGGTCAGTCAAGCTGAGCAGAAGGTCTTCGTTTTGTCTGTTGTCTTTCTAAAGGCTATAGCTGGCTCCCAGTGCAGGAGCCATGCTCAGTGGACGAGAGGGCACCCTCCTTGGTTTTGCTATTTTAATAACTTGAATAATAATTGTTCATTTTTTTCTGGACCTTAAACCCGAAATGGATTTACATGTGTGTTTTGGAGGTCACACTGGAAACAGCGCCACCGCAGGCTGGAGGACCCCATGACCACGCACATGTGAGGTTTCACTGTGAGTTCAGTGAAACTATTCCCCTCCTTTCTACAGTCTTACACCAGCTTCTCTTCCTGTAAGCCTGGGTCAGTCTCACATATTTACACCTAAACCATGGTGGATGCTCTAAGAACAGCTGAGAGATAGTGGAAGGGCAGAGCCCAGGGCCCAGCATCCAGGCTATATCAATTTTTTGTCATATCATGTGTCTTTTTTTAAGATAAACACTTCATCCTGCGGGTAGGACTTCGGGAGTAGCATAGCAGTTATGCTTTGGTGAGAAACACTGGCAGACGGAACTCACAAGAGGATGAGGTCATGGCATCATTGGAAGCATGGTTTCGAAGATGGAGGACAGGAGGTCTGCACTATCCCTGGCTGAGCCCAAGTGGAGGCCTCTCATTAAGCAGGATATTTCTCTTATCTATATGGATAAATGTGATCTTGTTCTCACTGGCTAAGAGGAAAGCTGTAAGGAACCTGAACCAAAGACCTCAGCCATGAAGATCAGCCCAAACCTGCCCACTCACATGGACCATTGCTTTAACGCCATTCCTGCCGGGACTCCAGCCTGCCATTTGCATCCTCGGTTTTTGGGCCAGTCTCTGCTGAGGGAGCAAGTCACCTGGAGCCATGTGCAGAAGGGAACTCCAGGGACAGAATGGCACCGAATGACTAAGGAGACCAAGCAGGTCTCAGGCATCACCAGTCAGATGGTTCAAAGGGTTTAAACTAAACTAGCCTTCAGTCTGATTTGAATTGTGATTGTTCATAGTCTGTCTCTTTAGAGTGACTTCTCTGTATGATCGATATTAATGTTATGTTCTATGCCATTTTTCTGAGTGAGGGCCAAATGAGACAGGAATCATAGCAGTAAGATGCATCTGATTGGAGCAGAGGGTCAGTTTAACATAAAAGCTTATCTTATTGGCTGGGCAATAATGATGTCAGTGTGATGTCGCCCATCTTGTGTATGTTTGCTTATAATGAATCTGTTTTCTCTCTTTTTTACTATAGACTGTTTTTTTATTTCGAGGTATTCTTAAGAAACATGCAGAAGCACAGAGGTGTCTGAAGAACATGCCATCGGCCATGACTGGCTCCTCGTGTATTTGTTAGAAATGCTGATGAATGAAGTAGGCAGAAGGATGGACAGAAGACATCCCACCTTAGGGATGTTCAGGAGACGTTTGGGAGGGCGGACATGCTGGCCAGTGCTCGGCTGGTATTAAAGGAAATACCGTATATATACTGCCGACTGGGGCAGGCAGGGAAAATTTGCTGACTGGGGCTAGAGAGTGATGGTAAAATCTGGGGCGTGATTGCAAAGGTAAAAATTCTTTCCGGCTAATTTTACCACAACTGAATAGCAGAACAGATTTCTGGGATACTGAGCATCATTTGCAGGTGCCAGGGAGCTGCTGTCAAGTTGCGGGAGACTCCTGGAACTTCCGGAAGAGGTGGGATGTCTGGGACAGACTTGGTGGGGAGAGGGGGTGTTAGGGTTAGGCTGACTTGGTGGGGGGGTACACTCACTCTGTCGATTTGTGTTTTCTGTCTCCTGTTGGGTTTCCTGCAGATCCTCACATTTCCTCCCATGTTTTCACTGAACTTGGCAGGGGGTTGGGGGCTGAAGGCCATCACACACACACACATACACTAATATCTGAAGGCGCAGTCTTGGGCCCATGGAGGGCGCTGTCCTGGCAGCCAGTTTACAGAGCACCTAAGCTGTCATGCTGTGACATTTGGCCAGTTTGCTCTTTGTCTGCCCCCTCAATCCCCAAACTGAGCTGCGTCTGCTTTTCTCCACACGTTCCTGGGGACAATCCACCAGCATCTACAAAAACCTGAAGCCTCGTTTTTTTCATCCCCGGCGCCCAAGAAGACCACTGACAGCTCTCCTCTGGAAGAGCATGTGTGTGTGTGCGTCTGACAGGCCTATAGAGGAGTGTGTGGGCTTGCTGCATGTTTCGGTGAGTGTCAGCCTCTGTGTGTGTCTCACACGCATGGTGGACATGTGCGTCAGCAGATTTCCCACAATGCCCTGAGAGAGAGATCCCCAAAATGAGGCACTGAAATTCTGCCGTCCAGTCCAGCCCCCATTAGCTACAGCATCGTGCTGCTTTGCCTGGAATTTATGCACGATTCCTTTATCTATTATTCCTTTTGGTTTCCCTTCTGCTCCCTTTCCATCTCGGTCTAATTGCTTTCTGCGAGCTCGTCTCGCCTGAGGCAAGCTGGAGAAGAAAGAGTTTTTATGGCGGCATTTCTGACAGACAGGCGCTCTCACAGTGTAAGCAGAACAATCCGGAAGGGGACACACGCCCTGTAAAGTAATATCTAGAATATATACCAGCGTATTGCCTTAAAACCGCCCCACTGACGTTTATGTAACATTACAGCGCATACATGGTGCAAGGAAAAGCAACATGCGTACAGAAAATGGCTTCTTGGGCTCCACACGGACTTTTCACTGAGCAATATTACACTGTTTAAGTTGCTCTGATGCTGGACGGCACAAAGGCTGTGTTTGGGAGCTGCTTGTATAGATGTTGAGGGCGAAGGGGATCAGTAAGGGGGGTCTGTCATTCAAGCATCCATGTAACACGCTGGAAATTACCAGAAAAGACTCTACTCACTCTAGCGTTTGTGTGCCAGCACTTTCCTGAGATTCACTTCCCATAATGCACTCGGTTGAACATTCACTCTGCAGGAATATAGTCAGTGATCATCTCTCCAGAAAGGGTCTCCATGTTGATATGAGGGCAAACTGGAGCCATAGTGATCAACAGGAGTTCTTTGGGCATATTAAAGGAGCCCCACAGACGAGGTCCTTCTGGAACATGCCATGGAGTCACTCTGTTCTGACCTGATTCTGAGGCCCTGCTCACACATGCAGTGTCAGTACTGCAACTGTCTCTCTGTTACTCTGTCCCACCACATGTCACGTATCATTTATATTAAAAGGGAACAGACAGACCATTCCTGTCTCTACTGTCTTGTCTCACCAAACCAGACTGTATGGACCACAGGGAACCACCCTGCGTCTGTCTATGGTACAGCCTGTCTGTCTGTCTGTTTCTTGACTATTCGCCTGCCTGTCTCTCTGTCTGTCTATCTCTCTATCTGTTTCTAGACTGCCTGCCTGTCTGCCTCTCTGTCTGACTGCCTGTCTATCTGTCTGACTGCCTGTCTATCTGTCTTGTCTGTATCTTTACCTGTCTGTCTCTCTGTCTGACTGCCTGTCTATCTGTCTTGTCTGTAATCTTTACCTGTCTATCTGTCTGTTTCTTGACTATTTGCCTGCCTGTCTCTCTGTCTGTCTATCTGTTTCTAGACTGCCTGCCTGTCTGCCTCTCTGTCTGAATGCCTGTCTATCTGTCTGACTGCCTGTCTATCTGTCTTGTCTGTATCTTTACCTGTCTGTCTTTCTGTCTGACTGCCTGTCTGTCTGTCTGTATTGTCTGTATCTTTACCTGTCTGTCTCTCTGTCTATCTCTCTATCTGTTTCTAGACTGCCTGCCTGTCTGCCTCTCTGTCTGACTGCCTGTCTATCTGTCTTGTCTGTATCTTTACCTGTCTGTCTCTCTGTCTGACTGCCTGTCTATCTGTCTTGTCTGTATCTTTACCAGTCTGTCTCTCTGTCTTTCTGCCTGTCACTCTGTCTGCCTCTTATCCTCAGTCTGTTTGTCTGTCTGTCTCTTGACTGTCTGCCTACTCTCTGGTGGAGTCTGTCTCTGGTGTCTCTGAGTGCATCCTGTGTGCAGTGGATCCCTCCATCCTGCCCCTCTGCTTCCTCTTTACAGCTGTGGATGCTGCACACTGTCCCCTTCCTCACTGACTGATATCTGAATCACTGTACACTGTTCTTTTCCTCATTGGCTGGTATCCAAATCACTGCACACTGTCCCTTTCCTCATTGGTTGATATCTGTATCGTGGCCACCAGCTCCCTGACTCTTCTCTCATCATATAAAATGTTTTGTAAAGTTTTCATGAGAAAATAAAGGATTCCGAAGACCTCACTGTGTTTCCTGTCTGTGTGATTGATCGAAGAAGTGACCTCATCATCGGGCGTTCCCTGCAGCTTACAGAACGACACCCCCCCTGGTGGCTTTTCCAGGAAAGCTCTGTGTCCGCTCTCGCCGCAGGCATCTTCCAGCAGGATATGTCGTTCTGCTGCAGTGAAGCAGGGAAGATCTTCATCATGTGAGCGTTAAACTGAGCGGAGGAGCTACAGGGAGACCCAGGGCAGAGCTGTTTGGACAGAGAGCTTCTCTTCTTTAAGTGAGGTCCTGCGGCTGAGGCTGGCTGATGCCCCGATCTGAATGTGTCCTTCCCATTAAACTGATCTTTATTTCTACACATGCAGCTCTACGATTCTCTCATCACACAATAGTTTGTATAGTCTTTTATATCTTTTCTTTGTATTTTTTATACTTAAAATGAACTTGGAGGGTGCCTGGGTTCAGAGGTGACAGCCCCAAAGCCATTGAAGGCCTTTCTTCAGTGATGGCTGAAGTTGGAGGTGAAAATTGCCCCTAGCCGTTGGATGACCATGGCCTGAGGAGCTAGAAGCATCCCAGGCTGGTGGAGGAACATCATGGCACCTTACAGTCCATCATGTTAGAATCGGCGCACTCTCGGGCTGCCTCTGTATATTTGCCACCTTGTCACAGCATTTATTTGACAGCATCATCCGGTGCTTATTCATGCAACATTGTTTTTGACGGGGTTAAGTCTCAGTCCCCAACCCTGCTGCTTGGGCTGCAGTCTCAGTCGCACTGGACTGATGTGCTTCCCATCCGCTGCTCTACACAGTGTCTGGGGCTCCTACTGGACTGCAGGTTTCAGGTCTTGATTAAGCTCTGTGACACGTACATCATGAAGACCCCTACCAAGCTTTAAATCACGTTTCTCTGAAAGGTGAATTTTTACATCTGAGTTTTTACAGACCAGAGAGTGTCATCTGTTCAAAGCTTCCCTGTACTTTCTGTACTCTGAACCTACTGGCCAGCAAAGACGCACAAGGTTCAGAACACAAATCGTGTCATTACTATGAATGCCACCTTCCACTCAGTGCCAAGTGTACACTGAAGGTGCCGCACGCCAAGATTATAGAAGCTGAAAACATTCGGAGCGGTCTTTGTCTGAAACTCACCGGTGCTTGAATGGCCACTATTATCCTTGGGTTTATTCAGGCAAAACAGCTCATTCTGACTGAGAGCAGGAGAAAAGCAAGAAGAAGAATCAACAAAGGAGGAGAGTGACTTGAGAGACAAAGCTAGACAGAGCGGTTACGTGTCTGCGCTGCCCCCTGGTGAACTGTGTGGAGCCGACGCCCCCGCTACCACAGGGACCCCCACCATTAGAGGTGCTGATGTCATTTCATTGCCTTGCCATTGTTTCTGTCCTCTCTCCTGATATATAGTCGTGTCCCTCCATCACTGCCGACACAGGATGGAGCCCAGCCTCCTCTATATCTTTCTAAATATATATAAATATAATTTGAATAGCGGGTGCCCTTGAATTTTCACAAGCATTTCGAATGGACACAGAAAGAGTTTATCTGCATCTCTCGCACACAAAACTCTGAGGCATTCTGTTCGTCCTTCAGCAAGTGGAGGGCCTCTTTTGTCGGCAGTTCTGCTGGGGACCTTCTCATGAACTGCTGCTTTATATAATATGGAGTCTCTCTCCCTCCCAGCCCCATTTATGCAGCTGGAGGCCCAAGGACTGCAGGGTATTCAAGTTAGTACCAAAGAGTGAGAAAACAGAAATAAACAGAACCAGAACATAGGGTTAACAGTACCAGATAACAGAGATTAAAACCACCAGAACACATGGTTGACATAACCAGAACACAGAGATTAAAACCTCCAGAACGCAGGGTTAACATAACCAGAACACAGAGATTAAAACCACCAGAACACAGGGTTGACATAACCAGAACACAGAGATTAAAACCACCAGAACACAGGGTTAACATAACCAGAACACAGAGATGAAAAGCACCACAGATAGATAGATAGATAGATAGATAGATAGATAGATAGATAGATAGATAGATAGATAGATAGATAGATAGATAGACACAGACAAACAGACAGACACAGACAAACAGAGAGACACAGACAGGCAGACAGACAAACAGACAGACACAGGCAGACAGATAGATAGACGGACAGACAGACAGACACATACAGGCAGACAGATAGATAGACAGACAGACACAGACAGACAGACAGATAGACAGACACAGACAGACAGATAGACAGACAGACAGACAGACACATACAGGCAGACAGGTAAACAGACAGACACAGACAGACAGACAGATAGACAGACAGACAGACACAGACAGACACATACAGGCAGACAGATAGATAGACAGACAGACAGACACAGACAGATAGACAAACAGACAGACAGACACATACAGGCAGACAGATAGACAGACAGACAGATAGACAGACACAGACAGACAGATAGACAGACAGACACAGATAGACAGACAGACAGACACATACAGGCAGACAGACACAGACAGACAGACAGACACACTGCTATCCTATCCTATATATCCTCCAGGCCCTGTCTGCTCCCATGTTCTTCCTGCTTGTCTTAGCCACACTGAAATGAGGTTCCACAGTGTAAACAATCAAACCCAAGGTGCACATTAGCTTGACTTTGACTAATGAGTCACACAGAGAAGCACTGCCTCCATGATCTTACAGCCGGACGACTGCTGAAGCAGCGAGAAAGTTTGCTACTCGACAAACGAGAGAAACTTCGGCTTCAACTCATGACACGGTTTGATTAAAATCAGAGCTGGACTGTGAAGGCCCACTCTGTACTCCCAAAACATCATAGCATGTGCACATGGCAATAAAGAAAGCTTGTATTAACCCCATAGCTGGAAGAGTGGAGTGCCAGAAAAACATTAAAAACAAAATAATAAATACAGGAGTCCAAGATGCATAATGAAAAAGGATAACAGAAAGTAGCATGACTGCAGACAAACAGGCAGTTAGGATGTTTGTATGTGGAAATCAGGGGAGTAAAGTGTGAGAGTGTCAAATTGCCAGAGTGTAATAGTGTGAGGGTGACAGAGTGTCAAGGTGTCAGAGTGAAAGAGTGTGAGGGTGACAGAGTGTCAAGGTGTTTAAGCGTGAGATTGTCAGAGTGTGAGATTGTCAGAGTGTCAGAGTGTGAGATTGTCAGAGTGTCCGAGTGTGAGACTGTCAGATTATCAGAGTGTGAGATTGTCAGATTGTCAGAGTGTGAGATTGTCAGAGTGTGAGATTGTCAGAGTGTCCGAGTGTGAGATTGTCAGAGTGTCAGAGTGTCATCCTGTGAGGGGCACGGCTTTTCTGTGAGATACATGACTAAAAGGGGACGTGGCTCATCTGGCAGCTTCACGTCCAGTTTCACAGATACTCATCCGCCACATTTCCAAGGCTGGAGATCTTCACCTCCTCGTTATGTCTGCCAATGAGAGGGGGAGAAAGGCAGAAAAAGAACAGAGAAGTAGAAGCAGAGAGAGAGCAAATAGAGGGAGGTTGCCAGGGTTACTGCAATGAGCGTGCGCAGGAGAGGGGTATCATATGAAGGTGCAGCACTAACATTAAGGATGAAAAGAACTCCATGCCTCCGCCTCAGGATTCTGGGCCCCAGAGAGGCCTCCTTCTCGAGGTAATGGGCCTCGGCAGTGCCTCTTCCTCAAGTTTATGGGCCCTGGTGGACCCTCAGTGAAAAAACACATTGACAAGAAGACGAACAAGCCAGTTTCTGTTGTTTCTGCTTCTGCACTATGGAAAATTCCTTCTGTGGTTCCATGGGTTTTTGCATCTTGCTCTGGGGAGTCCTTTTAGGACCCAGGGGCACTCAGAGAAGGTGCAGGCCCCTCACTATAGTCCTGGAGATAATAATAGCATCACAGTGGATTCGCTCAAGTGGACAGGCTGCATCATGTAGCCTTGGAGCTACGGAACAAACACAGGGAAAGAGCTGGAAAATCCACCCAACAAACAAGAAAATGACTACAAAGCCACGGGCTGCTAGTGTCCAAGATGAAAGGAAGAAAAACCACCAAACAAACAATAAAACAACAACAAACAAATAATCTAAGGCCTGTATCATAAGCGAGATCTCTTGGTTAGCAAGATAAATTATTGGA